TTGTCTCATGCTTTCTTGCTTTGTGGTAAATCTTTGTTCTGTCTTCACTGAGATATTTAAATGCTAATCAATAAAACATATCACTATCACTATCAAACTATACCAGGTCTCTCCTATGTGGTGCTATGGGGTCACCTGACATTGCAGTGAGGTTATTTTTCTATAAACCCCACAAACACAAGCATAGTAGCACACACTTGTGTACAGATCACTACCCTGTTTGCAACAGTTGCCTTTCTGTGTTGGAAAAAAGGCAAGTATTAACTCACAGGGCATATTAGAGTCATAAGATTCAGAACTGTCTGTATAAACAGGCTTTCACTGAATTATGCCAGAGAATGCAGGAGAAACAAAGACAGGTTTGTGTTGACCCATCACCATCATTTCCATGAACGTTAAGTACATTGGAAAATTTCAGAATGTGTCTTCTTAGTCTGTAATTTGTTCTATAGATGGGGAGAAAATGACTGACCACTGGGGCGGCTGTTTGGGCTGAGTCTAAAGACACTGATGATTTTACTGCAGTCTGTGATTACAGCCACGAATGGAGGGCAGTGGATCAAGCTGTGCACGTCTATAAATCCCTCTTTAAATCATTGCAGGGTGGAGAAATAGGAACTCCTGAGTGATGAGGACTGTTGTTTTGTCCTTAACAGTGAGCCTGGTAGCTTTTTATACTCTTTGAGTTCCCAGCAATTGATGTTTCTTGAGTAAAAAGTGATTACAAAGTAGCTAAAGCCAGAACCCTGGAATCGTAAGTGCAGAGAAAAAAAACCTAAATTTTACTTTTTTTATGTTCATCTAAAATATATTTTTAATAATGTAGTTATTATATTTTTCAAACTATAAATTATTGTATTTGCTCATTTAAATGAGAATTGATATGAATAATTCACAGAACAATAGCTGAAGTGCCTTTCCTGCATACAGCTAGATCATCCACACACCCCTGATGATAGTAACGACTAAATACTCAGGTACACCCACAGAAAACACTCTTTTATGCTGCCTGTGGTTGTACCTGTATCACAACATTATCAAAATGGTTACTTCACCTTAGCGACCTCTCCCACCACCACAACTGAAACGAGTCATTTTCTTATGAGGGAACAAAATAAACTACTTTTTACTGTATAAAAAGGTCAAACTCATATATTATAAGCATTAACATGCAGTCTCTTCTCACCCTTTTCAAAGGCTCCAGAAATAAAAACAGCAACAACATAAAGCAAAACTCCAAAAAAGGACATTTTATATAAACTTAATTCATTCAGGCTGACTCTTTGTCTGGCTTCGGGCTAGGCTACTACAGTTACGGGTAAACAGTCAGCTGGTCTGATGCATATAAACGTTTAACAGGTTAGCTAAAAAGAATCATAAAATAATACATGTGAACATGATCATATAGTGAGACAAATAACAAAAAATAATCGAGAATTATCACTTTAAAGTGCGATGTAAAGGCACGTGTCGCCATTTTGCCCCCCTTTTATTATAATGGTACAGTCGATAGATGACACCAATCTGGCAGATCGCAGAAAACTGCCGCATGCGCTGTAGCCACTCCCCACACAGCTAAATCTCCAGTGTTAAATTAACACTAGAGAATATCTACATGGGTTCACTCCACTGAGTGTTAAATGAACACTTTTGACAGTGTTATATTTTTAAAGGTAACCTAGTCAGTTTTGAAGATAAATAATGACCAACGGTGCTGATTTTCTAACACTGGAAAATAACTCAAAATGTTAGAAATATTCCAGTGTCAGAAAATCAGCACTGCTCAGTATTAGTCATTGTTAATGTTCAAAACTGACTAGGTTACCTTTAAAAATATAACACTGTCAAAAGTGTTTATTTAACACTCAACAGTGTTATATTTAACACTCAGAGGAGTGGACCCATATAGACACTCTCTAGTGTTAATTTAACGCGGGAGATTTTGCTGTGCATGGATCACCGAACATCTGCAAATTACTTACATGTCGATCTAAATCTGATGAGGTTGAATGAAACTGGCTTCATACCGGAGTCCACAGTAAACGCCTTCACTGGACTTCAGTTAGTTTACATCTTCATGTTACAGCACTGTACACAAGTGAAACCCTGCATTATCATCCATCCATCGGCTTCCCATTTTCCAGTTCATAGTCGCAGTCGTAACCCAGCTGACATAAAGCGAAAGGCGAAAAACATACTTTCTCCACTAAATCACAGAGCAGTGTTGCAAGTTTTCCTCAAACACAGCGAGCAAGTTCTGGCGATAAGTGGAAACAAGGAAATGTCCTGTGCACTGACGCTGTAGTGCCATCTAGTGGGCTCACTCGGCAAGAAAGAGCCAAACCCACACGAATGCAATGGTTTCAACCTAATATCAAGAATCACAGAGAAATCATCATTTTATAAATCAGTGAAAGAGTTCCTCATTATCAACATCATCAGGAATCATCACCATCACCTCTCTCTGAGGAGCAGAGAGCACTCGTGCTGCACATCCCACCTGTGTGCTGTGTTCACGTGAACCTGAGAGCACAGCTGTAGTGGTGACAGTGCATATGTACATGTGTGAACTGTTTAAATGATTTTCATTCTTGTGTTCCAATTCTTTACAATCAGATAATCAAAAACTTCCATCCGATCACGTTTTCTAAAAAATTTGTGGTGGAAATCTGATATTAACCAAGACGCAAATCTTCAGGACTACATGGAAACTTTCTTTCAGAAGGTTCAGTATGACACAGAGAACTTACAAAATCTTAAAAGTTTTATAGACTTTCAGGTGAAAAGCTGATGACATTTACTACACACATCTTTAATAAGGAGCACAGTGTTGATTGCACATTTACCATGAGAATAAACCGTCATACCCACAATACTTGACAAAAATCGTTGATATTGTTTTATTAGGTTGACAAATATCCCAACACTGAGTAATTTAAAGTTTGAACAATGTATATGTTGATATGTTTAAAAAAAAAAAAATTCAATCAATCAATCAATCAAAGCTTTATTCCCCCCCCCGACCTTACACACACAACACAGACATTACATGGGGATACAAGTCGGAGATCGGTAGCGTTACAGAAAAACACTGAAATGTACACTACAGTGGGAAAGTACAAGAGGAAAAAAAGCATGAGAACAAGAAACAGAAAAACTCCTCTGCACAAAAAGCACATAAATGTCCACAGCACAACATTGTGAAAGACATTACAAGCCACAGGACTGGGTGGGGGGTGAGGAGTAATCCGAAGCAAACACAGCAGCCGCCCTGCACAGCGCTACCATTCCAGCGTGGCACACATGCTTGTTTCCTGCTGTGTTCCCCCGCAGGAAACAAGCATCGAAGGCGTTTGGAAAGTGAGGGGGATGAGTGCGTGCTTATCAGTGTAAGTGTATGTGTGTGCGTGTCCATAATTCAGCTGAGACTATTGTTTTATTGACCAGTAAATGTCTCAACATGCTCCCCATGAATAAGCCGAGACCCCCAGTGGCCGTTTTTTGCAACTTCAGGTTTTTATGGTTGTTTGTATTAGGAGGAATTACTGCAATAAAAGCAATTTAATCGATCAGCCAAAATTATTGATGAGAACTGTTATGTATGAACCAAGAGTTATGGTGTGCTATGCAAGTCATCGCCAGTAGGGGGCACCACGCCCAGTTATGTGTGTGTGTAACTTCTGTGTTATCTCAATAAAGAAGAAGTCAACATGTAAAGAAGCTACCGTGCGTATCAGTCTGATTCGGTATAAGCCCTGTTAGTGTACTGACACCACAGAGGGAACATAACAAGAACAGTTTCAGGTTAGTCACTCCTGCTCATTTTTACTCATTTTTTTGTTTCAAGTAGCTTAATGTTAAAAAATCTGCCAAAAACATAATATTGAATAAATAGAAAAATAGATAAATAAAAGCAGAAACTACTGAAATAGAAACTGCAACATGAGTAAAAATGAATGCTTTGTGTGTGAGTGTTTTTCTTTTTTCTTTTCAAATTTTGTTAAAAAAAAAAAAAAGACCAGAAACAAAAACAGAAGATGGACCAGTAGAAACAATTTGTCAAAACATTTCTTGCTGGTAAAGGTCAAAGTCGTGGATCGTGGTGTAATCGCTGAAACCTCTATTAAGATGATCCAGATCTACAAACACCAGAAAAAGAAAAATATAGCATGTCACTCTTAAGGTTGCAAAGTCAGAGTATTCTGGAAGGAGGGATGGCTTAGAAAAAACAAATACAAGTTCATCAGAGTTTGATTAGTCAGAAGATGAGCTCTCTGTGACAGACAACAGATTTAAGAACAGTTAAATCTGCGCAAACATTTATCAGCTGAAACAAAAACAAACAAACAAACAACATCGTTTAAGACGAGTAGATTTCTTTCTATACCCGAAAAAGATGACCGCAGCAGCACAGAGCACCAACAACACCACAGACGACAGAATGACTAAAATCCCGGTTCCTTCGAGACAAACAGCAGAAAGAAGAGTATAATAATTTGAACAACTATCAAAAGTCAATAGACTCAATGACAAAACTTACTTTAAAAACACAAATGTTAACACACCTAAATTCCTGGGATTAGATCCTGATTTCTCATCTAGCTCTGGTAGAAGAAACATAAGCATTACAATAACAGTAGTCATCATTTTATAAGTCAGTGACTTCAAAAGAGCTTCTCACCATCATCATCATCATCATGAGGAATCGTCACCATCACCTCTCTGTGAGGAGCAGAGAGCACTCGTGCTGCACATCCCACCTGTGTGCTGTGTTTACGTGAACCTGAGAGCACAGCTGTAGTGGTGACAGTGAATGTAGCGTTGGTGTTGGACACACTGACAGTGTTGTACTGTGAGAAGCTGAGGTCTTGTTGTGAGACACTGAGTGTTACAGTGGGAGCAGGTCGACCAGTGGCTGAACAGGAAACAACCCACTCTTCAGTAGAGTTTGACTCTCTGACATCAACAACAGGTTCATGCAGCTCTGTGAAGGATCAGCAAATATCATCAACATGTTCTTATAAACACACCAGCTGCAAACACATTTATGTCCAGTATGTTTGTTTGAAGCACTTGTTGTTCGTTAAATAAGGAAAGGAAGGAAGTTCTTACCATAGACTTGGAGGCAGGGTCTACCTGTCAGAGCTCCTTCAGGATAAGTGATAAACAGACAGTGATAGCATCCTTCATCCTGATCCGTTACATTCCTGATGACTATGGAGCAGTTCTGTAGTCCAGTGTATTTAAACCCAACTTTATCTGTAAAGCCATCATTCACTCTCTGACCAAAGTAGTTGCTGTAGGTGGCGACATTCTTCTTCCCAGTAGTGACTTTCTGCCATGTGACCTGAACGACGTCTTTAGTGTCCAAGAGCTGACAGCTGAATTCAGCATCTTCTCCCACTGCTGCCAGCACAGTCTGCTGTGTTTGGATCACTGCTGTTAGAGCTGTAGGAGATACAGTTTGAGATGTGAGGCACATTCAGTATTATGTCATAATTCCAACACAGACACACGCACACAGTGCGTGAAGGTATACTAGAAGATGTAAATGCAGCATTACGGACAATTCCTAATGCAACCATCACTGAAACCAACCAGCTGAAGCAAAACGCTCCATGGAGAAATTACGCCAAGATCAAGGTAGCACGGATGTGAGTTAGCCAACTATCGGAGCTGCATAAAGTTGTGATGAAGAACTTTTTTATACTGTAAATTAATAGTAGAAAAACTGATTAACTGACAGACTAAATTTATAATCATAAAGTCTGTCTGACCATCTTCATCAGTTCTCACATGCTGCTGCTCTCCTCCCTAATCAGCCTCTCTTTCATTCGTTCTATAGTCACCTCTCTCTACCTTTGATGACATCTCTCCTACTTAGGTGTTTGTTGAGCTAGTTAATAGGTATCATCTGTTCATCTGTTGTGATTTTATTTTTGAAAGGATGCTTCCTGTTATGCTGCAGAGTATACGCGAGAGTTCAGTAAACAAAGTCACATTGGTGTGAATGTTCCGGTGAAAGCCGATGCCCCACGTGTGATTATTCCTCGTGTGATTATAATAAGTATCTTCAGTATTCATGCAGATTCTGCTGGAAGACCCGTCTCTGCTAACAGTGCTCTCTGGCAAATTCTGAATTCAGCTCTTCTAGTAGAGAAATGCTTCATTTCGATTCCATGCGAACCTGAAATCTGTGTACCAACTGACACGTATTTTGAGGAACAAAAGACATATTTACCCGTACATCCTGACTCATTAACGATGACGGAATTGTTTGCGTAAATGCGCACACCATTGTTTTTTTGTTTTTTTTTTATTTATTTTCAGTGCGTCATCTAGCGCTAAGTATTTATTAATGTCAGCACTGTATCTTGTAAGATTCGTACATTAATCCAAAACAAATCCGGTCTTTGAGTCCCATTAACTGTAGTATTTTGACAAATACTGGATATCACAGATCTGAGAGATTAAACTACATGAAAGTGGTCTGTAGTGTTGCAGAGATGACTGCACTTTTCTTTATTGTTTCTATAATTTGACAAAAATGGGAAGCACTGCAAATCCGTCAACTAACCTTAAAATTACACCTTGACACCTTGACCTTACATGGATCCCCTAGCTCCCCTGTGGCGTTTTAGATATATTTGTACAATTGTACAAATATATTTTTATTTTAATAACAATTTAATAATAAATATTTAAAAATAAATAATAAAAATTTATTTTTATTTCAGCGCACAAAAATGTAGGAATACATGTAAAAGAATAACGGAAACGAAAAATTTAGGCTACTGTGGGTTTAACGCGACATTTTAAAGTTAAATAAATTTAATGCTGAAAAAAGGGAAATCAAGGAAATGTTTTTGATACGGGCGACATGGGGCGTTGCCCAGGGCGGCATCGTGGTGGGGGCGGAAGCATGGGCATCGGGAAAAAAAGTTGCTTGCACCCATGATCATGCCAGCGCATTTTTGGGATTGCATGGGCACCGATAGGTTTTCTATTGTCCATTTGCGGGGAGTAAGGGCGCCCTCCGTTTGCGAGGTGCACCTGCTGCTTGCTGCTTGCCGCACATGGAGTAGGCTGTTTCTAAATAAAGCCCATTTCATTCATAATATTGTCAGTCCATCCAAGCCCACTATGTTTGTGTTTGATACTAGAGTGAAAAATTACTGATGGAAGATGGACAAGAAAAGGTTACAGCCATCAGAACCTCAGTTTAGAAAAGAAGAGAAAAGAAGAGGAGGAGAAACGAGCAAAAGATAAATGTAAGCAGATGAGTCATTGGATAATGGCAGGTATTATGTATTACATGTATCCTGGATAACATTTATTAGTAAGGATTGGAAAAACGTCCGGCTAACAAAGTTAAACGGACGTTTTTGAGTCCTATTAACTCAAAAATGTTAATGGGACTCAACGTATATATATATATATTTATATATACGTTGAGTCAAAACAAGCTAGGACCGCCCCTGTAACTGGGAGGGGTGGGGGTGGCTCAAAGCTTTGACTAGAGTGCTCTGTAAATGTTCACGGAGCCTCACACAGACTGTAGAAAAAAATGAGAAAAAAAGAAAAGAAAAACAAGTGACAGTTACAGGACGCAGGTAAAGTTTAGGCACCGCGCTCATATCTCTCATCTCGCGTGACCATTGCATACTCATTCTGATTACATTTATCTGTCATTCCCAATAGATTAACACTTCGCACTTGGAATGAGAGAGGCAGATATTATTTGAGTTTCACCCTCTGAAAAGTTATCCAAAAGTAACGTGTTTATGTTATTAGAGACTTAGAGAAAGCGCATGGGCAGCTATCGAGCTACACTGTCTGAAGGTTCGATAAGCCACATGTCCGCACACTTCAGCGACTCATCGTGACCACCCAGAAGAAGTATTTTCTCGAGTTTTATTTTCAATTATCAAAATGAACATTTTAAATAAAATATATGGAATCTGTTTTCCTTTCAACAAAAGTTAAAGACAACATCAATATCAATTCAATTCAATTCAATTTTATTTATATAGCGCCAAATCACAACAAAAGTCGCCTCAAGGCGCTTCAATATGACAGCAATCACTCGAATAAAACGGCATATATTTAATATCACTTTGGATTTAAGCGAATAAATAACCAATATGTCAAATTGGCAACAAAAACAACAATGAGAGCTCGGGTGTTGTTTTCTTCATATATACGCGCATATCCGCTTGTGATCAACAGCAGCTGGTGTATTAGAAATATTGTTATATTTCGGATCTACCCGCCATTAGACGAGTTGTTGCCACAAACTAAAAGACGTGACCTGTCGTTGTGTAAAAATATCTAACTCGCATACTGCCACACACCTATGTGTGTAATTTATGTACACTTTCTCCTTACCTTCGTCAAAGACTCCAAAAATAAAAAAGCCAAAAACGCAATGTACAGTTCGAAGCGGAGACATTTTACTCTGCCCTTCTCCACCAGACTGAAGCGCATTGCTAAACTTGCGGGTACATTATTCGTTGCGGGAGCCATCCAAAAACATATGTACTAACAAATAAATAACACGCGCTAAGAAAAAAAATATCATATTATAATAACAATATTACTATTATTCAACAAGAAATTGCGAATTATCACTTTAAAATGCGGAAAAACAGCGCGTGTTCCCCCATGCAATGGTATAGTCCTGCCGCCTCAAGGAACAAATCAAAGTTTATGTTACTCAAATATCAGACACAATAGCGTGTCTACTTTTTCCCCTTTCTTTTAATGAAAAATAAATATCACATAAATTGAATTGTATTGAACGGTATGCATAAATATCATAAAGCACTGTGTTGGTATTCCAAGGTACAACCATCAAACTCCTCTATGCTGCCTTCCGTACTTCCGTGAGCATTTCAATCAGTCACAACTTCAGGCACAATTTATTGTAACAAGTGATAGATAAATTACATAAAAATAAATTAAAACTGCATGGGAAAAGTCTGATGGTTGCTAACAAAAGATCAAATGAATTTCTAAACTGAGAGAATTTGAGAAAGATGTGAAAAGCCTCGGTCCCGGTACAGAATGGGTGTGTGTGTGTTTTATGTATAGAAGTAATTTTTAAACGTTCATATTTTTCTTCCATGATTTCAGACCAGAAGTTCTTACCTTTAGACTTGAAGGCAGCTTCTTCCCGTCGAAGCTTAGTCGGTGTGTTAAACAAACAGCGACAGTGGCCGTCATCTCTCTCATCTCTCCATCGTAAACGGTTTCACGTGAAAGCAACGAGTTATTTTAAAACTCCATAATAATACAGAACGCAAATAGATTGCCTTATCCTCGACAAAAAAAAATGCCATCAAAGAAAATGAAAATATGATTGCAGGCGGTGCCACGTTGCCATATGGCCGCCAAAATTCAAAAAACAAGTCTCTTAAATCGGGAAGGTCCATAATCTCACAGGGTGTATGCGTGAAAAAAGCAAAGAAAAAAGTGCCTCCCGTCGTTAATAAAAGCGACATGACATATCACGAGGTTCACTGGGACAGCTAATAATCAGTCATTTGATAAACATTTACTATTTTACATTCCTATCCACTATTTTAATGCACATATATTCCTCAGTGCCCCCTGTTCATTGTGCAGTGAAACTGTCTCACAATTTCATTTCGCTTTCATTCTGAGTGAGCAGATTTGTATAATCTCAAACTGAGTGCTTGTCTAAGGTCTACAAGTCAATAAATCAAGCAACAGAAAGAGAGAAAGGGGAAAGAAACACATCGGACTGTATAAAACATGCCTAATCTAAAAACCTAGAAACTAGGGGTGGGCCTCGATTAAAAATGAATCTAATTAAATTTCCGGCTATGTCATTAATTAATCTTGATTAATCACATTTAAACGTACAAGAAAATTTACCAAAAAGTGTGAATGTTTTTGTAATTTAAAAGGGTTTTAGTGGGCGACAGAATGAAATAATAGATATGCACATGGATATTGTGAACTCCAGCTCTTTTAATTTATGGGAGGAAAAAAACATTTAAACTACATTTCAATGCAAAACAGAGAAAAAATAATATCCCTGGCCAAAATTGCACAGACTTAAAAATAAAGTGCTATTTTAAGTACTTTAAGTACATGTTCAAAATGGTATTGTCTTTAAATAATAATAATACAAAATTCAACATGAAGTGCAGTTTTTCTTCTTAAAAAAATAAGGCAGAAACATAAAAGGTTATTTGAACAGCGTCACCTTTAAACTCAGAGTAACCTTAGCCAAAATTATTTTGTATGTTAGGCTAAAAGAGTCTGCTCATCAAACATTTTTTGTGCAAAAAATAAAAAACCTATTGGACTCAAAATAAATACCTCCATGCTTATTTATGGTACATCTTTTTGAGCCAGTTACTTAGACAAACTAGCCTCTTCACATTTTCAGAGCTCAAGGCAGCTCTCTTTTTTGTTACTATCTGACCTGCAAGCAAGGACAGTCTCTCACATGGGACAGAAGTGGCAGGACTAATTAAATACTTACAAGTAAGGACAGACAGCTGTGGGTGGGTCCCTGCTTGACTGGACCACCACAGCAGTGGGCAGTCTGTCTTGCTGATGGTGGATTCTGCTTTGTACAAACTCAGGGCCCTTTTACACAGGGCTTCCTCATGTGAATCAGAGTCTGAAGACAATGAAGAGAGGAGGAGGCTGTTTGTCTTTGCTGGCTCCTTTGAGGTGGCATCTTCACACTGTTCCTGCAGCAGGGCCTCAAGGCTGGTCCAAACCTCTTCTCGCTCTCGACTTGCAAGACACTTTAAATCCTTAAAGTGTGGGTCAAGCACAGTAGCTATCGTGAGCCATTGATGGTTGAGTGCAGCTACACCTTGGGATAGGTCCTTTGTGAAGGCAGTCTTAAATTTCACCATGTAGTTTCAGTCATCATCAGAGACCTCCATGGTGTGATGCAGGTGGCAGAAAGCAGGTAAAAACCAAACCTCAAAGTTTTTTTGACAATCCCCCAAAAACAGAAAGGATGCATCATTTTCTCCTGGGTGTAGATGAATGAAAGTCACGAAAAGTCTTCACTAAACTTTCTACGCACTGTTCTTGAGTTAATGCATCACTCAGCATCCGCTCTGTGATTTTACGTACCCTATCACTTCGTGGCTGATTTATTGTCACTTCCAGTCACTTCCACGTTGTTATAATATAGCTAACAGTTGATTTTGGAATATTTAATAGTGAGGAAATTTCATGACTGGACTTGTTGCACAGGTGGAATTCTATCACAGTACCACGCTGGAGTTCTCCAGGCTTCTTTCACAAATGTTTGTTGAACAGTGCAAATGCCTGTGTGCTTGATTTTATAAACCTGTGGACATGGAATGATTGGACACCTGAATTTAATAACTCTGAAGGGTGAGTGAATTATTTCCACTTGTGTGTGATGTGTTCTGTAGTGCTCATTGTGTCTGCTGTTGGTCCTGAGTGTGAACACACAAATGATTTCCTGCAATATTTGTTCTCTGTGGTGCACTGGTTCAAGGTTTTTTTCACACACACAATAAGTCTCATTTGTCATTATTTATCATATTTACGGTGCACTGTGCAGCTGGTAACTGCGTAGGTCATCCTACGGCTGTAGTGCCACCTAGTGGAAAAAAGTGCAAACAAAGGCAGTGGTTGGTGTGGCTCACCAAGGAAACCTTCCCAACAAATCTGAGTGGATACATTCACGAATCAAGAATTCCTTCTTAATGTCCACAACAAAAATTGAACTAGAGCTGAATTTAAAACAGTCTCGTGGATTATTAGTTCTTGATTGATTTTTCAGAGAATAGGGAGAGTGAACATCATTTATATTTGAGAAAATAAAATAAAACACAAAACAGTAATAATGATTTAAATGTGTTTAACTGAAGGTGAAAATGGTAAAAATGTTCTGGAACTTGGAATTACATATATACATATATTACATATATATGGAATTTAGCAACCATTAAACATTGTCCTCACTTCTGAAAATTAAAAAAACAAAAAACAAAATTAAACTAACTAACAAATGACCTTTTGTAATTATATATATAAAAAAGTGTCATTAATTAACAATTAAAGCACAAAACTAAGCAAACTCGCCTGTGCTGTCAAATCAGTGGTAAGAAACCTTGTGTTTTGGTGGTTTACGTGTGAATCTTAAAATTTTGCATAAAAAAACATTTTTGATAAACAGTCTGAAGAGTAAAAAACAATAACACGTTATACCACCAATACCTTTAAACTGGCATGGTTTTACATTAGTAGACTGGCATATATAAGAAGAGTAAGAAAATACATATGCACTTTAGGACTAGGGGTAAAGGGATCAATAAAAATTAAAAATGTATAATTTACAGTTTGTTTATTTAAAGTCTCACACGCAACCCGTCAACATGGGGAGGGGGGAGGGGGGCCATGCTGCTTCCAATATATATATATAGCTGGAGCTATCGGGAGTGGAACACCACATGTCCCAGTGGATACTGGACTACCTCACAGCATGCCCACAGTATGTGGGGACACAGGGCTGTGTCTCTAATACTCACATACTACACATCACTATATCCACTTAGACACACAGAGGGAGACACAGGGATCAGCTACACAGAGGGAAAATTACTAAACAAGGAACACAAGAAACTAGACCGTATAGAATAACTAAAGACTAACACTGAGGACTTAATACAGAATTCATAATGACAAAAACATAGAAAACTCAAAACACAGGGTCAAAAAAACCCCAGGACCCTGACAACAACATGGGTTTACCACTCATCTGTACTTTAATTTTAATAATTCAATTCAATT